ATCTCCTCCACACTTTTATACAGGTTCTCAACCCCAGTCTTCCTGATCTGATAGTCCCAGTATCTCTGCCAGCTCCTCATCTGATCTCAGGCTCCCCGTCACCTACTGGCTATCAACACTCCCCCCACCCCTTCCTTTCATGTCCCTCCCTGGCATCCAGTCCTATTCTCTTTGCCCCTGTAGTCTCCCTCCCAACTCTCAGCACTAGTTTTATTGCCCAGTTAGTCCCCGTCTATTTCCAAAGCTCCCAGTTTCCTTGTCCAGTCTCCTCTCCATGCCAGCTTCCAGTTTTTCTCCCGTCACCTTAGTTAAAAAAAATCCCCATTGACTTAATCTGGAGATCTTTCTTTCTTTTTTTATGCAGAGCCTAGCCCAATGTGACCCTGAGCCTTGATTCTGGTGCTACTGTAACAATTATAATAATTAAAGCCAATCATATTTTTTTCCCAGCAGAATAGTGTAGTTTCAATTAAATGAAAATATTCACATAAAGTGTCTGCTTTCCTCAAAACAATTCATTTTTTCCTTGGAAAATCATTATCCCTCCCCAGTTTGTAATTAATTTTCAGCTGATCATTTTTAGTATTTCAATGAAAACTGAAAACTTTCAGTAGGGGAAAAAAGTTCAGAGCGGCTCTTATAATAACAAACACAATCAAAAGTTAGGTTTAGTGACACTTAAGGTAGCATCGGGGAACTCCCCACCAACCAGAACCTAAAAGCATTGAAACCAGAATTGAAAGAAAAGTCTTCTGTATTCCTTGCCACCGTCTTATTACAGACAACACTGTTGATAATTCATTCCGGCATTCCATAAGGTTTTCAGATCAATCTCCAACAGAAGCCTGAAATCAATACATACCCTAGCTTCATTCAACTTGCAGAATGTTAATAGAGACCTCATGCTCTCTTCTGTAAAGGGATCGGCACATTTGCCTGTCACACAGCTCATATACTTGCAAGGTTCATCTGCTTTAACACTGCTGAGTGATGGAATTTGAAAATGTCACCCCAGACTAAAGGACCACGACTGTTGCAGCTGTTAGTTTCTATCAACAACCAGAAAAGTCACTTTTCCCCCTGGCAATATCTCCTCCTCACTGACCTCTGAACAATGAGCACTAACTACATTGATGAGTCTTTTTGCATCATTAATGGACCCTCTGGGATATGGTCCCCAGGTTCTTCATAAGGTTAATAAATTCAAGCAAGATATTATTTGTAATGTTGCTTTGTTATGGGATTACAGTGATTTCCCAGACTGAAAAGAACTGAGTGTGTTTTTAGTCTTCTTTCCATAAAGATGCTGGCTACCCTCCTCAAAATAACCTGCCCAGTGAAGCCAACTGTGTGACCAGTTCCACAGTCCTTACTCTCATTGAGTAGCGCTTACTGATGCAAGTACTTCTGTTGAGTAAGGGGTGGGGAATTGTCGCACAAGTGAGTAACAATTCCTTTTTTCTTTCTTCTTCTTTTCCTAAATATCAGAATTTATTACAAAATGGGAATTTGCGTAATAAGCCAAATCTACCACGGACAAAACTAATTGAACAGAGTGCATTCATATTTGATCAATTGTGCTGGTAACTTGTGTCCACACAGCATCAGGTTGTATCGGGAAAAGATGTGATGTACTCTGCATAGGAACCCCAGTGTCCCCTATTAGTACCTTTTAGCATGTCACCTTGTGGGAGATTTTCACAGTGCGTTGTGGAATACCCTTATGTCTCTCCGAAACTTGAAGGAATCCAGGGGAAAATGTTGACAATTCCCTCTGTGCCATAAAATAGCCTGCTGTTCTCAAGCCCCATGTAAGAATTGTCCACTGCAAAGATGCATGCAGTGCAGAGAAACACAGCACTCTTGTCCACTTTATGTATAGAGAAAACAATTCTGGTTTATTTGCAAGGCCCTTGTGCTAAGATAGAGTCACCTGAGGACGAGCAAACAGACAGTCCTGTGGATACACCCATACAACTTTCCAAGACCAGATGCACTCAGCAGAGAGGTGGTTTGGGGCCCATCCAATGAGCACCAAGTGCAGGGACTGGGTAATGATGCACACCTGGGATGACCAGCAGTTGTTCCAGGAGTTTCACATACAGAAGCCCACATTCCTAGAGCTAAGGTCCAAGCTCACCCAAACCCTGCAATGCACAGACACCGAGATGAGCACTGTCTCGACAGTGGAGAAAGGAATGCACATTGCCACATGGAATCGTGCAACTTTAACTTGCTACTGGTCAGTGGGGAACCAACTTGATGCTAGAAAATCATTATGGGGTTGGTCATCATGTAGGCATTCCAGGTGAGAAATAATGTCTTGCTGTTCTGGGTAGAAACCCTGGGCAATGTGCAGGAAACAATAGATGAATTCAATGACTTCCCTAACAATGCGGAGTCCTTATTGTGTGCCCCTTTCCCCAAATAAACGTTGAGTACATAAACGACAAGGGTTACTGCTCCACAGTACAGAGGCTTTGGTGAAACCTAGTGGGTGATTTACTGACATGAATGTTGGCTGGTTGGGAAAAGTCCACACCCCTCAACATTTTAGAAATGCAGGGCTTTTTGAAAGGCTGAAAGTTAGGGAGTTCTCCCCAGACTGTCCAACTGACCTTAACAGGGTTTCTGTGCCAGCACTGCCTCTCTCTTGGTGACTCGGCCCACCCTTTCCTTCCCTGGAAGCTGTACCACAACAACTTAGAGAGAATCAAGGAGAGGTTAACGATCACCTGGGCAGGTTCAGGATCACTAGGGAGTGGACTTTGAAGGATAGGTAAAAGTGTCTCATGAAAAGGATCAATCTCTGAGGAGGAAAACATTCCAGTAGCTGCTGATGCATGCTGTGCAGTGCATAATATCCTGCGACCAATGGTGAGACCCAACTACTAGGCTTGATGAGTGAGGTGGACAGACTAAAGCTGTAAAAATGTTTCTTCTCCTAGGCCTACAGTTGCAGTAGCATTCCCATTCTGTCAATGACACGAGAAGAGAGGGTAGAAGTTGATAAAGTACAGTTCAGAGCTGAAGAGTAATGGTCAAATAAAAAGAGTCCCATTCAATTACATCACATTAAGGCAGACAGCTAAATATTGACCCATTTTATAAATGCTTGCACACAAATACTAGAAGTCGAAATACTACAATGGGTGGGCTTGAGTGACTGATATTAAAGGAGAATATTAACAAAATAAGCATCACAGAAACTTGGTGGAATGATGATAATTAAGGCTAAGATTTAATCACGGGTATTTTTAATAAAAGTCATGTACATGTCACGGGCAAGAAACAAAAAATCAGGGGCCTGTGACCTTTCCAAGACTTATACCATAAATACCCGTGATTTAATAATGGGGGGGGGTGCTGTGATGGGGGGTACTGCGGGGGGGAAGGCCCTGGTACCAGTTGCAGGGAGAAGCCTTGGGAGGGGGAGCTACGGTGGGGCTGCTTTCACTCCAACTGCCGTTGGGGGGCTGGGCAGGGAAGCCCTGGGGGACAGTGGCTGTTCTGGCCATGGCCAGCGGAAGCATTGGGGGGCCAGACACTGCTCTAGCCACCCCAGGACCACTGCTTTGAGTCAGTGATCTGTGGCTGTTCCCGCCACCCCCAGGACTGCTACTGGGGCCCTCTGCATCGGGCCACTGCTTGGGCAGTCCTAGGGGCCAGCTGCCCGAGGATGCCAGAGCAACGGCTGGTGCGACTGTCTGCAGGGCCATCCAAGTTGCTAGCTTCAGAGGTGCTCCGACAGAGCCAGTGTGTCTCCCATTCAACTGTTATCATGTCTCTTCTTCTGCAGGTGCAACGGCTATTGACTTCAGTGAGAGCAAATGGTGTTCAGAACCACTGAGGGTCAGAAGAGTAGTTCACACTTGTGCCATGCCTCCTATGTCTGAAATAACCACATATGTAGCTGTGAAAATAACCAACTTTCCTAATCACTGGTTCAACTGAAAACTTGAAAAAAAAAGAATGTGGTTTGGGTTGACACAAAATTATTTTTTTAGACGATGATGATGATGTTGATGATAATGATGATGGCACTTTTTCTATAATAATATTTGGCCATCCAAACAATACATACACCACAAGCTGGTAAAGGAGAGAGACCAATATTAATGTAACAAGTACGGGTATTTCAGCACCAAGGCTGGAATTTTCAAAGAGACCAATGGTATTTTATCACCCATCTCCCATTGAGTGACAATGGGAACTGGGCACCAATAGCACATACCCCTATCATTTGAACTGAAAATAAAAGGGGGCTGTTTAGAAGTGCACATTGTTGGCTTAATGCTGCCCCTCTCCCCGTCCCCCTTTGAAACCAGAGATAAAAATGCCATTGACTGCAACACTGAGTGCTTCTGAAAATCCTACCTTACCTCCTTTCAGCAGGAGCCAGCCAGTAAAGAATGATATAAACACACACACACACACACACACACACACACACACACACACACACACACACACACACACACACATA